GTTTTCCATATTTTATATTCTTTACATACCTATTAAGCCATTAGAATCGTAAGTCAATGTGCCCAATGCAACCTTAATTAACAATTAACACCGAAAATCAAAGATATTGTGTAGTAGAAACTGAGGTCTTCTTCAACTAGAAAAATGGGAGATGGCTTCCTTAATTTTTTATACTAAATTTGTAGCTGATCAAATAATTTATAAAGCGAAAGTGATCAATAAATAATTTTGAATGAGAAGGGTAAAATATCGCATGCAGTAGCCACTTTTTTATTTTTCAAAAGTTCACTATTTCTGTGGGGGATAGGGTAGACCTACCCATGTATTATCAGCTAAAAATTTATTATAAAAGAGTCAAACTTAGGCTTTACTTGACTGTATACTAAATAGCCTTTTGATTCATTGTTGGCGTCTATATATGTGGGATCGTTGATCCAGTTATGACCAGTTGGTTGACATGAAATTTTTTATCCGCACTCCATATTTGTACCAAATAATTAAATGTGAAATATGTATTTTGCATATACACTTTTAGCACATGATCAATGATTATGTGCTTTATATTTCTCACTTTAATTTGAGAGTTCAAGATTAAATTGGTTGCTCAAATTAAATTGGTTGGTTTAACGTAAACATCCAGTAAAGGTCGGCCTTAGGTTGAAGCGCCTAGCGCATGTGCTTTAGGACCCAAATTTGGAAGGGCAGTAGGGCACCTTTTTTTTTTCTTTTTTAACCAATAATAGGTTAATATGTTAAATTTTAGGAAAAACAATGAGTATTTTTTTCTCTCGTGTAAATTATATGTTACACTATTCATTTTCTTGGGAAAATACATAAGTACCCCCTGTTCTATACTCGGATTTTCAACTACACACTTTATCTTTGTGGGAATTCTATTACCCCCCGAAACATTTTTTAAAATGGAATAAATACCATCCTAAAACTAGACAACCAAACTCTTGGCACACGCGCTGCCACATGTATATTTAGTACTTTTTTTATTCTTTCTTCTTTTCTTATCCTTGTTTTCTAATTTTTTTTTTTTTTTTTGAAAATAAAAGGCATACTTTATATATATTTAAGATAGGAGGCTAAGGCCCCCTAATATTGTCATTAGTACATGCATCATTAGAACCTACTAGCATTATACCTTGTAAGGCACTATTGTTTCCTAGCCTAACCAAGGTTTCACAGTGGTTACTTCTACAAGATCTATGATAAACATAACTTTCACGGTCTTTTTCGTACACATCCATAACAAAATCCGGTGGCTTGCAAAAACTATATAAAGTATTAAAGCTAATTCTCCTTAGTGCTTCTTTTGCCAAAACATGAGCCACCATATTTCCTTCCCTGAAGCTATGCTTGAATGATATCATCCCCTCCCTGGATGCCTCCTCCACCAATAACCTGCATATATGACATAGTTCATTGTTAGTGGCGTATTCTTTGTTGATAATATTAAGGATCTCCGTGGCATCAGTTTCAATTTC